GTTAGGTTGGGTCGGGTTGGGTTGGGTCGGGGTTCGGTTGGGTTGGGTTGGGTTGGGTTGGCGTTGGGTTGGGGTTGGGGCGCCACCGTCGATCGCGCCGCCGTCGCTTCGTCGTTCGTCGCCGTTGGGTAGGGTTGGGTTGGGTCGGTCGGTAGGTTGGTCGGTCGATCGGGCGGCCTTGGGCCGCCTTCGTCGATCGCGCCGCCGTCGCTTCGTCGTTCGTCGCCGTTGGGTAGGGTTGGGTTGGGTCGGTCGGTAGGTTGGTCGGTCGATCGGGCGGCCTTGGGCCGCCTTCGTCGATCGCGCCGCCGTCGCTTTGTCGATCACCGCCGTCGATCGCCCTTGTCGGGACTGAAACCGGGATATTACGCGGGAGAAATGAATGATTCCAACCACAAGCACAGCACTCCTATCTTTAACCACGAGAACTCGCGGGTATGGCTTCCCACCGGCTCCTCAGCACCTTACCCGCGACCAAGAAAGCACGAGACTCTCGCAGCAGCGGCGGTGGTGGACCTGCCGGTGGCAGCAGCGGCAGCAGCGGCGAGTCGCCCGACGGCTTCCAGCTCGTCAGGGAGCCTATTCACGGGAGGCTTTGCCCAGACCCATCCTGTCAGGAGTTGAAGACTACTCTCGTGTGGCGCACTAGCAGGGGCATCGTCACGCGGCCTGCCCCAACAACGACAAGGACGACCCAGAGTCCTGCAAATTCACGGCCAACAAGCTAGCTGGCGAGAACGGGCGGCAAATAACTAGACCCCTCTCTCCTGTGCGTACTGTGCCTCGCCTGCGTCGTCAACTTCTTGTCCATCGGGAAAAAAAAGGGAAGGTTAACTCCACAACCCAACACAGAGCCGCGGAGCGAGCGAAGCGAGCGACATTTTTTCCCTTCGTCCCCAGGAGGAATATATAGGCTCTACACTAGTCTATGTATCGGCCAAAAATGCGCCGCGCGATACAGGGGCCCCAAAACTTGGCTTCCGGGAAGCCTATTTAGCACACCATTGGAACCAGAACGAGATCTATAGGGAACCGATTGACGATCTGCTCGCTTCTGAGGAAGAAGGAAAATAGCGCGCTCTTCTCCACACCGGTTTCGTCGTGCTCCGAGAGCAGATGGCTTTGCTTCACCGGCATATATATGTAGCCAATATGCGGAGGAGATCGTGCTGCCCCCCAACCCCGGGGTTATTGCGCGGAGAGGCGAGCACAAAAGCGGAGATCGCGCGCGCGCGCGCTTCAGACCAGGACAAGAAACACTGATCAAGACGCAAGAACACCAACAACGAACGCATCACCGCTGAGACGCTGGTCTGAGACCAGTTAAGAAAACCAGGAGGGGCCGAGCCTATATGACCTGTGCACCGTGGGTACATTGTAGTCATGCGCCGTGTTGTTGTGTTGTTGTTGTTGTTTCTAACATTAACTCTTTAGTCCACAAAAATGGGGAGCCCGTGGTCTCAAAACCCGGCATATACGACGCCGCGGGGAAACAAAACAGAAATAATAGGGTACAAACCACAGGTTTATCGCACCGACCGTTCGAGAAAAAAAGAGCCCTCGGAAACCGATCGCAATAAAACAAAAACAAAAGCAAAGGAGGACGCTTCCCACACCCACCCAAAGAAAAAATCAAAGGGTAACGTACCAGCACCAGGCACTACGCACCAGGGCATGGGAGTAACGGAGCAAATAGGACAAAGAGGCGGCAGATGGGCAGACAGCCAGACGTACAAAAACAAAGGCAACA